GTAGCGGATCATTGAACCAACAACACTTTGTACCAACCACGCGGCTAAGTAACGTAATTACTCCTAGTACCAACCACACGGATAAGTAACGTACTTACTCTTAGTACCTACAACACGGGTAAGTAACGGACTTACTCTTTGTGCCAACACACGGGTAAGTACGGCACTTAGTACCAACCAGACGGGTAAGTAACGCACTTACTCTTAGTACCGACCATACGTATAAGTAACGCACTTACCCTTAGTAACAGTCATACGGATAAGTAACACACTTTCACATAGTACCAACCATACGGGTAAGCAACGCACATACTCTTAGTATCAACCAACGAGTGAGTAACACACATATTCCTAGTACCAAGTCAGTAATTCACTTTCTACTAGTACCAACCACATGGGTAAAAAACGCACTTACTTCTAGTACCAACCAAACGGATACGTAACACACTGTTTCTTAGTACCAATCACACGGATAATTAACACACTCGTTCTTAGTACCAGCCTTACGAGTAAGTAACACAGTTCCTCTTATTACCAATCATACGAAAAAGTAACGCTTTTATTCTTAGAGCCAACTATACGGGTAAGTAACGCACATACTCTTAGTACCAACCATACGGGTAAGTAACACACTTACTCTTAATACCAACCATACGGGTAATTAACGGACTCACACAGGTAAGTAACGCGCTTACTCTTAGTACCAACCACACGGGTAAGTAACCAACCATGCGGTAAGTAGCGAACTTACTCTCCTCGGGGTCACCTCCAAGGGTCCCTGGGGGCCTGATACAAGACCAGCCAAGGATGGCAGCCTCTAATTCCTGCTACTGAAGGACCGCAAGATCCGCTACGTGTGGGAGAGGCAGGTCGCCAAGAAGTCCGACGTGCTGCGGGAGATGCTGATGCTGCGCTCCGACCGGGGAGGGTAGATCCTTGGGAAGGAGTTTACCGCCTTCCTGAACGGCAAGGGAATCGTCCACCACATGACCTCCCCCTACACACTGCAGCAGAACAACATGGTGGAGCGGGAGATGCGGATGGTGGTGGAGTTAGCGAAGATGATGCTTCCGCACATAAGCATGCAGCACCACTAGTGGCACCTCACCCCAAGGCATGCCGTCTGGGTGCGCAACTGCCTGGAGTGGTCGACGCTGCTACTGGGGACGACTCCGTACCAGCTGCTGACCGGCAAGAAGCCCGACTTGACGCTAGCTTGTGTGTGGGGCTGCATGTCACAGTTCCTGGTCCCCAAGCAGCAGCACAGTGGAAAGCTGAAGTCGAAGGCCAGGTGGGGCCTTTACCTCCGTGCGTCGGAGGAGAGCAAGTGCTGGAAGCTCCTCGACCTCACCAACAACAGGGTGGTCACACGTCCACGTGGTGTTCTACGGGACTACGTCGCTCGAGGTGTGAAAGTCGGAGCATGGGACGGCGTCGGGGCGGACGCGGGCCGACCAGCCAATGGACACATCAAAATCGACACTCCCCTTGCTCGCCGAGGTCGGTGAGATTGCAAATAAGGACATCGAGGATGTTCGCCTTCTTTGCCCTTCTCCTGCCCCTCCTGCCCCACCCCGTGTAGCCGACCTGCATGGGCTGACAACGACGTTGGCCAGCGGCGATGCCGGGAGCAGTGGGGCGTCACTTGTGGCGTTGGCCAAGAGCATCGCCGGTGGCCGACGTGACATCACGCAAGTCAGCGTGCGCGAGAAGTCGACGCTGGCAGGGGATCAGCACGCAGAGGAGGTGCAGCCGACTTTGGTGGAGTTGGCGAAAGAGGCGTCGGCAGAGAAGCCACCGACAGGGGAGCAGCCAACAGTGAAGCCGACAAATGAGCAGTCGGCGACTAGGCAGCCGGCAGGAGAGACGATGTGAAGTTAGCAGAGACACCGACCGTTGTGCAGCAGGCCGAAGAGGGCAGTGGAGCAGGCGTTGATGCAGGGTAGCAGTGGGGGGGCGTAGTGTCTACTGACAGCAACGTGGTGGAGGGCAAGGACGAAGAGCCTGGGTCGCGACACTCAGGCCGACTTCAGAGGCCGCCTGAGTTCCTGACCTACCGCGTGTTTCTCCCGCCAGTCGCCTACACCACGGTGTACGACGACCCTGACGATGACATGCTCTACGGCGATGCCGAAGATGACGTTGACCTGCCCAGGCTCGACCCCGACATGCATACCGACCTTGAACACCGTTGGGAAATCGCAACGATGACGGTGAAGGAGGCGTTGGCGAGCTAGAAGGGCAAGGTGGTAAAGGCCGCCATGGACGAGTTGTGAGCAGCAAGTTATGTAGTCGTCGCACGGGTACTGTGATGGCAGCCATGTTGGATGCACGTCATTCTGAGTGGATGTCATCCTAACGTCCTGCCGAGTGCTTGTGCTATTTATGCATACATTGTTTGCACAGGAGAAATCCAGAGCTTTCCAACGATACCAAGATCGCCTTATTCCGACCAAGATCGCCCAAGTTACAAGATTTCCAAGACTTGGATTGCTTATTATCTTTTGGGGTTACATCTAAATTGGGTGATTACTTGGACATGACTATAAATGGATCTTTGGTTGGGTGGTTAGGAAGACAACTTTGACATTTGGATTGGGGTGGCTAGAAGTTTCTAGCATGGGTTGCAAATTTTGCAACACCTAGGCAAAATCCAACTAGATTGGATTTTGCATGTGACACCTCAAGAAACTTTTGATGAGGGTTGCCTCCTAGCTGCTAGGAAGGTTCCTACCATCCTTCTTTAGCTCTTGGAGAACCCCTTCCCTCTCATGGTTATCTTGGAGTCCCCAAATCCAATATTCTATCCCCTAATGTTTGTACTTCCTCCACCATTCTAGTCATGCGGCTGCTGGACGTTTTCATTTGGTTCTCACAATCCAGACCATATTTTTAATTGATTCAAGTTGGAGATATTAGCTAAGCACAAGGCGCATAATCATACCAAGCGGATTTGTGTTTAATTGTGTCGTAAGTTCTCAAAGTGATGGATCCTGAACAACAAGTGGTATCAGAGCGGGTAGTCAACTTTGAGACGACGAATCGTCGTCCATTCTAAACCAATGTTGACTAGTGAGACCATTGTCTAGTTGCTCTGCTCACGAACGTTCGATTGGTGGTTGAACCGTGTTCTAATTCAGAGTATCCAGTCTGCGACGGCGATTTTCGTAGAATCAGAATTTCCGGCAGAATTCTCTCCAACGATTTCTCAAGTTTCCACCGTTCATAATGTGCTTATGGCGAGACGAATAGAGGTAGAGAGAGTGAAAATCAGGGGGGAGTTGCTGGTGGTGGAGTGGGGACTCACGAACCAGCCAACCCTACGTACAACATCTCTAAAAACCGTGGATCCTGTGAAGGAGTTCTCTATTGAGAAATTCATGGGGGAGAACTACGAGCACTGGAGCTTCCGCATGAGGCTGATATACACCCAATATAATCTATTGGACTAGGTGGAGGGGAAAGAGAAGATGCCGGAGGCCGCGGCGTTGAAAAGAGCATGGATGAAGCGATCGTTCGACGCCTACATGCTCATGGTGCAAGCGGTTGGCGGACGACAACTTGACCACATAAAGGACCTCTTGGGTGATCCAGAGTGTAGCCCCAAGGCTTGGAGGAAGCTTCTGGATGTGCACTCATTCACACATGCTACTCGCGCAGCGACTGCGCGACATGAAGTTCGTTGATGGAGAGCCGATGGAACAGGTGTTGGATAAGATGTGAGACATATTCACGAAGCTCCAAGGCAGCAGTGTGGTGTACCTGAAGCTCGTGCAGTGCGTGGAGATCGTTATACGGCTGCCGGAGTCGTGGTCTGCCCTTGCCATCAACCTCGATTCTCAACAGCCGCAGTGGAGAATGGATTACATTCGCGCGCGCATCCTAGATGATAACTTGCGGCGGCAGTGTGGAGCGCTTTGAGGAAGGGGCTGGCTATGGAGTTCGAGGTGGAAAGAGTGGCTTCAAGAAGAAGTGGAAGGGCAAGAACAATGACAACCTTAAAGAGGATGGCGTCGGGGGTCAAGGGGAGGTGTGCTTCTACTGCAAGAAGCGCGGACATCGTTGGCGGAAGTGCTATCAACGACCCAAGGATTGGACCCTGCCCTCATCAAGCAACCAGCATGGTGACAATAGGAGTGGGGGAGTCATGGGAGCTAGTGGATAGGAGAAGGATGAGGAGAAAGGTGGCAAATCTGAGGAGCGGAAGGCCAGGTTCTTCTTTGTGAACGAAGGCACAACCGACCCTGCTATGGCTGCTAAGGTTCTCCTACACCCCCTCACCCATTGGGTGATTGACTCCGGGAGCTCTTGGCATATGACTCATTGTGCGGATCTACTCGATGAAATTCAGCCCACACCCATCTCTACGGTCACATCCGCGACGGGTGCCAAGGCCAAGGTCATGGGCATTGGGTGCGCCAAGTTCATGGGAGTGGATGGAGAGCTCGTGGGGCTAAAGAAAGTGCTGTGGGTGCCGGACTTGTGCGCGAACCCGATTTCTACCGGCCTGTTGGGAGATGCGGGTATGAACACCAAAACGATTGGCTTGGAGCGCTATCGTGCCTACAACGATGAGTGGCTGATTCGGAAACTGCAGCAGAAAAAGGACGTCCACGGATGTGGCAGATCGCGGTCCTCCCTTGGCGGAAATCGGGCGGGCAAGGCGGCAGCGGCGGCATTTGTGGAGGAGAGTGTCACCGAGGAGGAGCAGCAAGGTGTGCAAGGAGACGAGCTGATAGGAGGAAGCACGGCGGTGAAGGCGTCGGCTACCTCGGGTCAAGCGGTTCAAGAGACTTGGCATGGCGACTCGCACACGTGGCTGTAGAAGGTGATGCACAAGGAGAAGTGCGTGCATGGGCTCCAACTGCAAGCAGATGGTGCTCACCGACCAGCCAACCCTACGCACACCATCTCCTACAACCGTGGATCCTATGAAGGAGTTCTCCATTGAGAAATTCATGGGGGAGAACTACGAGCACTGGAGCTTTCGCACGAGGCTAATGTATACCCAATATAAGATATTGGACCAGGTGGAGGGGAAGGAGAAGATGCCGGAGGCCGCGGCATTGAAAGGAGCATGGATGAGGCGATCGTTCGACGCCTACATGCTCATGGTGCAAGCGGTTGGCGGACGACAACTTGACCACATAAAGGACCTCTTGGGTGATCCAGATTGTAGCCCCAAGGCTTAGAGGAAGCTTCTGGATGTGCACTCATTGACACATGCTACTTGCGCGGCGACTGCGCGACATGAATTTGGTTGATGGAGAGCAGATGCAACTGGTGTTGGATGAGATGCGAGACATATTCACGAAGCTCCAAGGCAGCAGTGTGGTGTACCTGGAGCTCGTGCAGTACGTGGAGATCGTGATACGGCTGCTGAAGTCGTGGTCTGCCTCTGCGATCAACCTCGATTCTCAACAGCCGCAATGGAGCATGGATTACATTCGCGCGCACATCCTAGAGGAGGACTTGTGGCGGCAGTGTGGAGCGCTCTGAGGAAGGGGCTGGCTGTGGAGTTGGAGGTGGAAAGAGTGGCGTCAAGAAGAAGTGGAAGGGCAAGAACAATGACAACCTTAAGGAGGATGGCGGCGGGGGTCAAGGAGAGGTGTGCTTCTACTGCAAGAAGCACAGACATCGTTGGCGGAAGTACTATCAACGACCCAAGGATTGGACCATGCCCTCATCAAGCAACCAGCATGGTGACAAGAGGAGTGGGGGAGTCATCGGAGCTAGTGGAGAGGAGAAGGATGAGGAAAAAGGCGGCAAATCTGAGGAGCGGAAGGCCGGGTTCTTCTTTGTGAACGAAGGCACAACCGACTCCGCTATGGCTGCTAAGGTTCTCCTAGACCCCCTCACCCATTAAGTGATTGACTCCGGGAGCTCCTACTCGATGATATTCAGCCCACACCCATCTCTACGGTCACATCCGCAACGGGTGCCAAGGCCAAGGTCATGGGCATTAGGTGCGCCAAGTTCATGGGAGCGGATGGAGAGCTTGTGGGGCTGAAGAAAGTGCTGTGGGTGCCGGACTTGTGCGCGAACCTGATTTCTACCGGCCTGTTGGGAGATGCGGGTATGAACACCAGACGATTGGCTCAGAGCACTATCGTGCCTACAACGATGAGTGGCTGATTCGGAGCCTGCAGCAGAAAAGGGACGTCCACAAGCGGATGTGGCAGATCGCGGTCCTCCCTTGGCGGAAATCGGGCAAGGCAGCAGCGGCGGCATTTGTGGAGGAGAGTGTCACCGAGGAGGAGCAGCAAGGGGTGCAAGGAGACGAGCTGATAGGAGGAAGCGCGGCGGTGAAGGCGTCAGCTACCTCGGGTCAAGCGGTTCAAGAGACTTGGCATTGGCGACTCACACACGTGGCTGTAGGAGGTGATGCACAAGGAGAAGTGCGTGCATGGGCTGCAACTGCAAGGAGATGGTGCTCACTATGGCAGCTGCGAGGCGTGCATGCAAAACAAGTTTGCGCGGTTCCTTTTTCCACGTGTGGAGGGATCATCTAAGGCACCCTTGGAGGTGGTGCTTATGGATATGGTGGGTCCTATGAGGACAGAGGGGACTGGGGTAGTGCTGTCCTTCCTCACCATGGTGGACGAATGGAGCCGTTTTACTTGGGCACGTCCCTTGTCCAAGAAGAGCGACGCCGTAGAGGCGATCAAGGAGGATCGGTTGCCGATGGTGGAGCGGCAAGCGATGCGGCTGCTGAAGGTGCTGAGGAGCGACCGTGGTGGAGAGATCCTCGGAGCGGAATTCACCAAGCTACTCAAGATGAAAGGCATTCGACACCAGCTGACCTGCCCAGGAACACCGCAGCAGAACGGCATTGTTGATCGTGCCAACTGGACAATTGGCGAGGTGGCTAAGACTCTGTTGGGGGCTGCTGGGATGCCTTACAAGTTCTGGCCTGATACCGTTCGTCATGTCATCACGGTCAAGAACAGGGTCTTGACACATGTTGGTGACAAACATTGGGTGCCGTACGAGCGTTGGCTTGGGAAGAAGCCATCCATTGACATGCTGCAGGTGTGGGGCTGCGTGGGGCTTGTGATGGTGCCTAAGGAGCACAGGCACAAGCCGGAAAATTGCTGCTGTGTGGGCTGTCCATCTTGGGATGGCTCTTGACTCAAAGGGGTGGCTGATGTGGGACCCCAAGAGCAAGAAGATGCTGATCAGCCATGACGTCAAGTTTGTGGAGGACGTCATGTACAAGGACTAGTAGTAGCAGCAGCATGTGCAGATTGGCTTGCGTCTGCAAGAGATTGAGCGGTTTGCAGTGGAGGAGGCTCAGCTGCACCTTGAGGATCTCCCTGGGTCAGAGCTGACACAAGTAGAGACCTGTGTTTCTAGTCTTGGTACGTGTGTTGTTTCCAGTCCAGGCACCTCTGAGGGTCTTTGTGTAGGAGCTGCAGCTACCACTAGTCTACCAGCCTTTGCAGCTGGCTCAGGTGCGACCTCACAGACTGCACAGCTTTCCTTCACCCTAGACTCTGGAGCATCCAGTTATTTTCTTTCGCGACTATACTGACCTCACACCACTGCGCTCTCCAGTCACTGTCGCCTTGGCTGGCCCCTCTGTGAGAACTGTAGTTGCCCGCAGCACCACCACTCTCCCGTGTCCAGCGGCTCCCTCTGGGTTCCTCACAGGTTACTACACCCCCTCGTTCTCCAGGAACGTGGTGGGTGTCAATCACCTCCACGACCTAGGTGTAGTCACTACTTCCCCAGTCGACAAGCATGTTGCCTCCTGCATAGTCGGTACCACTGGGGCCCCTCTGGCCACTTTTTACAGGGAGCCGGGCTCTGGTCTGTACTCACTACACACTAGGTCCCACCACACTTGGTCAGGTCAGGTCACGTAGCTGCTGTGTCGTATGACTGCCGGTCCCTCACCCACCCGTCGGTCCTCTGGTACCACCATCTAGGTCACCCGTCGTTCTCGCGTCTCAGTAGGATGGCACGTTACCGTCTGGTATCAGGTCTCCCAGAGTTGCTTGCACCGCTTCCCCGCTCGCCTGCGCCGCTGTGCACTCCTTGCGTCGAGGGTTGGCAGCGCGCTGCCCCTCACTCCTCCTCGTTCCCCCCCACCACGGCTCCCTTCCAGACCCTGCACTTGGACGACTGGGGCCCCTCCCCGGTCCTTGGGCCACGTCAGGAGTGCTACTTCCTGATTGTGGTGGACGACTACTCCCGCTACACCACAGTTTTCCCCTTGCGACGGAAGGCCGACGTGCCTACCGTCCTCGAGACGTGGCTACTAGCGTGGGGTGGCGCCCAGGGCCTGTGTGAGCTTCACCTACACTCGGACCGTGGTGGTGAGTTTTCTTCCACTCGCCTGGAGACGTTCTGTCAGGGTCGGGGAATCATCCAGTCTTACACACTTCCAGCCTCACCGCAGCAGAACGGGGTAGCCGAGCGACACATCGGACTGGTCATGGAGGTTGCCCGGACCTCCATGTGCCATGCTGGTGCCCCCCAGTTCTTGTGGCCTCAGGCAGTCCGCTACGTCGCGCACCAGCTGAACCTGTAGCCCAGCGTTGCATGGCCACGGGTGACGCTGGTCTCCCTTTGGACAGGCGTAGCAGCTGACTTCCGTGTCTGGGGTTCCCTGGCTCATGTTCGCGCCCCTCGCGTGAACAAGTTGTCTCCGCGCACTCGTGCCTGCGTTTTTCTTGGCTTCCCTTTGGACGCCTCCGGCTGGGTGTTCTACGACCCGGTCACCTACCAGTTCTTCGCTTCTCAGGACGTCAAATTCGACGAGTCTGTCTGTTACTACAGGAGTCGCCCCCACCGAGGTACTAGGGCCTTTTCCCCCCCGCTGTTCCTCACCCTTGAGCCCCCACCAGTCGCCCCCGTAGCCCCCCCCCACTTCGTGTCCTGCCCCGTCAAGTGTGTCGGACGTCACTCCGAAGTCTTCCCCTTTGCAGCGTCCAGTCCCTGTCGTGTCTGGGGGTCCGGAAGGTGCAATTGCGGAGGGTGAGGGTACTGGGGCTGCAGGAGCTGGTGGTGTCGGCAATGGGGGTGCAGGGGTTGTGGGCGTGGAGGTCACTTCTGTGGAGGACACGGCAGCCTCGACTCGGCGGCCTCGCCCCGTCTTACCCCCTGGCTTCCTGTCCGTCCCGCAGTTTCCTCCTCATTCTTCTATGCGGCCGGTTGCTGCGGAGCCTGGGGGTGTTCCTGTAGGAGGTACTTGAGGCCCCGAGGGTGTCGGTGGTGGAGGTGCTAGTTCGGGGGGTGCTGGAGCTGGAGGCACTGGCACTATGGCGCCTACACCGCGCACTGTACGTTTCCTGATCCGTGAGCAGGAGTCCCGCCTGCAGCAGCAGGTGCAGTTACAAACACAGCAGGAGAGAGTAGAGGAGCAGACACGCCCGCACCAGGAGAGGGTAGAGCAGCAGTCCCACCCACAGCAGCAGGTGCAGGTACAGACCCACCAGGAGAGAGTAGAGGAGGAGTCACGGCCGCAGCAGGAGAGGGTAGCACAGGAGTCCCGGTCACAGCAGCGGGTGCAGCTGCAGTCGCAGCAGGAGAGGGCAGAGGCAGAGCCACAGGAGCAGCAGCAGGGGCCGGTACCGTCGCAGCAGAGGCCAGAGGAGGCGGAGCAGCAGCAATTGCGACTACCGTCCCCTCCTGTTCCCCCTGTTGAGTCCATGTCCTCGTCCCAGTGGACTCGTCGTTCTCCCCTCAGTCGTGCTGTGTCCCCAGAGCGTCGTCGGTCCCGTTACCTTGTAGACGGTCCATTCCACCTTGTTCTTCGCTCTCGTGTTCCACCTCTTCCTGTCCTTTTACAGCCTCCTAAGTCGTCCCTCACTGTGCTTCGCGACCCGTTGTCCGACTACCTTCGTGCCTCCCGTCCTGTAATCTCCCGTGTTTTGTTCGCGTTGGTCACTCTCCCGACTGCGCCCCTGGCGTCTGTCTCAGCACTTGTTACCGTTGTCGCTGGCTTTGCCTCTTCCCACCGCCTTGACTACACCGCTCACTTGGTGAGTGGCCCTGCTCATTCTCCGTCCTCTGGGGGTGCTCCTGTCTTTCCCCTGGAGATCCTAGAGGACAGGCAGTTTGAGCTTGGTTTCCTTGTGGCCGCTGTTCGTCATCTCTGCGCCATGCTGCTTACCCCTGAGGGGGATCCAGACGCTCTTGACATCCCGATCCCTTGCAATCCCGTTGAGGCGGTCTCGGGACGTTGGGCCTTTTACTCGATAGCTGCTAAGGGGGCAGAGATGGCATCTTATAGGTTCACACACAGTTACGTCGACGCAGTCCCACCACATGGGACGAACGTCGTCAGTGGCCTATGGCTCTACAAGGTGAAGCAGCCGCCTGGATCACCACCAGTGTTCAAGGCGCGCTATGTGGCGAGAGGGGGTGGACTTCTTCCAGACCTTTGCACCCACCCCGAAGATGAGTACTCTTCGTGTGCTGCTGTATATTGCAGCCCAGCGCGACTACGAGTTGCACTCCTTGGACTTTTCCACCGCGTTCCTTCAGGGAAGCCTGCACAAGCAGATCTGGCTGCGTCGCCCGCCTGGCTTCACTGGCTCTTTCCCACCTGGGACAGGGCAGCTCGCACCATTACGCTGACGCAGTTGCTTATGGTCGAGGTTTCGCTTCCCGTTCTCCAAGGTACAGCTCACCCCTCTTGCTGTGGATCATGGGCTCACGGCTCCACCTTCGGACGAGTCATTTGAGTCCAATGGTCCATATCCTGAGCTGGTGGGTTGTCTCATGTACCTGATGACCTGTACTCGCCTAGACCTAGCTTACCGTCTTAGCGTCCTTGCGCGCTTTGTTGTGCCTGGGAGACACCGACCGTCCCACTGGTCCGCTACTAAGAGGGTGGCGAAGTATGTGGCGAGTACA